TAAACATCAAATGCCCAGGTATAAGTCTAACAAAAGATGTACACTGCAAATTGGTGAGAGAAATTAAAAGATCTTAACAAATGTAGAGATATACCATATGTACTACTTGGAAGTTTCAATATTGATGTGAATTCTCCCAAAATTAACACATAGATTTATAAACAAAATCTCAGCAATGATTTTTTTGGGGGAGGGGGTAGAAATTAACAGGTTGATTCTAACATTTACAGAGAAATTGAAAGAGCTTACTATAGCCAAGCTAGTCTTGAAGAAAAAGAAAACAAGTTGGAGGACTAAATACAGCAAATTTCAAGACAGTAGTACTGATGAAAAGAGAAATAAATAAAACTGAACAGAATAGAGAGTCCGGAAAGAGAACCACATCACCTGATTTATGACAAAACTTCCCTGCAATTTAGATGGGCAAGGATGGTCTTTTCAATAAACAGCGCTGGAACAACTGGGTACCCAACTGGGGAAAAAAATTAACCTTTACCCCTACTTCTTGCCATACATAAAAATTAATTGAAAATTTACAGGCTTAAATGTAAATGCTAAAGTCAAAAAGCTTCTAAAAGAAAACGTAGGTAAATATCTTCAAGCCCTTGGGGGATACAAAAAAAGCACTAATCATAAAAGACAAAGGATTACATAAATACCTGCTGGAAAAAATGGGGACAGATACAAACAGGCAATCTTTAAAAAGACTTAAAAATCTTCAAGCATAATCGTAATTCAAGAAATAAGAAAACAACACTAAGGTACTATTTCTCATGTATTAGTTTGGTGAAAACTAAAAAGCATGATGACATATTCTGTTGATGGGCTGTGGGAGGAAACAGGCATGCTCATACTTTGCAAGTGGGAATGAAAACTAGTACAAAAGTTCTAGAGGGGAATTTGGCAACACTTAACAAAACTATCTAGCACTTACCTTTTGACCCAGCAATCTCCCTTCTTGGAATCTACCCTAAGTTTACCCCCTAGCAATACAAAAATACATATACACAAAGTTATTTATTACAGCACTGTTTCTAATAGAAAAAAATTGTAAATGACTTAAATGCCCACACATGAGAGTGGCTAAATAAACCATGGTAAGTCCATAGACTGCAGTATTAGGTAGCTGCTAAACAAGAATTATGAATATCTCTTCAGACTGCTGTGGAGTGATGTCCAGGATATATCATTAAGTGAAAGAAGCAATGTACAGAAGAGCACCTTTAATGCAAAAAGAATATATGTAACTGCTCATTTGTGTGAAAGAGATACAGGACAGATAAAGTAGAAACCAATGAAGTTGAATATGTACAGGGAGTGGACAGAAACCATGATAATGTTTTCACACTCAGAATATTGAGGCATGCTACAATCGATCAGGATGTGAGGGAACCCAAAATGTAACAAATGAACCTAAATGTATAAAAAATGAGTAACATAACTATACTGAAAGGACTAGTACAGAAAACTAAATTGAGTACTGGGAAATGTTTTAACTGTAGACTGTAAGGTTAAAGAAAAGAGTTGCATATAAATACTCTGTTGTAGTTATTAAATTTGTTTTTTACACAGGTGTGGGTTAGCAATTCTGAAACTATCTTATATGTATTCTAGGATAGAGCAAATTACTGATACTGAGAGGCAGGTTTCTCACTGTTGGAGATTGGAGTAACAAGGAAATGGCCAAACTTGATGGGAGACAATTCTCTGTGGGTCTTGCATGTTTCTGCATATCTTGCAAGCAGAGATACTAAGTGCTTTTGTTCTGGATTATTTTTCCAAGATGTTTACATAGTGAACAGCCTTTGAAGACAGAGACAGTCTCCCTCCCCAGCAAAGGGCAGGCATGCTTAATACCTGTTATAAAAGATTTAGGTTCTGTAAGGTCAAAGGAGCACACAAATACCTGTGTATTTTTCATCACCTTGTGGGTACAAGTGAACCAGTGCAAGAGAATGTTGATATTCTGACAATTGCTATGAGCAACAAACCATCCTTCATCTCTGGCCCAGAGTCTAATGTTTTCTGTCAGCAATGAGCACACCAAGTGCCCAGATCTTGGTTTATAAATCAATTCTCTAACAAAAGAAACTAGGGCTCCTTGGAGAAATTGCTGATTCCAGGGCCAGGGAGGGAAAATACAAGATGAGCCTGGAACACCTTATGGTGCGAGAAAGTTTGAAAAAAAAAAAGCTAAAAAAAGTGATGGCATGTTGAAAGAACACAAGAGCCAACTTAAGCTCCTAATGGCCAACTCTGGAACAATTTGAGCAGCAAAATAAGTAACAATAATAATGGACTAAAACCCATAGAATAAAATAAATACCCATGAGTGCATAAATAAATAATTGAATAAACACATGGGGAAATGGGACAGCTCTTCCTAATAGTAGAATTTAAGTCAATAAATGCAGAAGGAATGATAGAAAGAGAAAATCACCATTAGGCAAACACCACAGTAATAACTGTTACAGAAAAAAACCATCAAAAGATGTTAAAATTAATGAGCAAAAGCATGAGAAACAGGATTTTTGCACAATCTCAAAGTATCTCCTCACAAGATACTTATTAAGTAAAAAGAGAAAAACAGTAATTTTACAGAGAAACCTGGCAAACAATATCTTAACCAAGTCATCAAAGTTAACACTAGTAATGAGATATACTAATATCATATAACTCCTGACATGATAGATTAAGAAGAGCTCAATTATCATTTCTGTGATCTTCTTGTCAAAAATGCATAGTGTAAATCTAACCATGAGAAAACATCAGACAAACCCCAATTGAAAGATACTCTACAAAATAATTGGCCAATACAATCCAAAGTATCAAGGTCATAAAAGATAAAAAGGACTAAAGAACTATCTCAGATGGGAGGAGACTAATGAGACAAGACAAATAAATCACTGTGGGACCTTAAATCCTGGAACAGAAAAAGTCAATTAGCAAAATTCGAATAAAGTCTGTAAATTAGTCTGTAAATTAGCCTATAAATAAGGTCTGTAAATAAGGTAAGGTCTGTAAATTAATTCAAAGTCTTGTATCAGTGTAAATTTCCTAGTTTTCATAATTGTACTATGTGCAACTGAATTAAGAATTCCAAAATGGGAATTCCAAAATTTTTAAAAATTAAAAAAATTAAAAAGGGGAAAGTGGGCAAAAAGATCAGAATAGGCACTTCGAAAAAGAGGATATCCACATGGCAATAAACATGTGAAATGATGCTTAAAATCATGTCACATCAAGGAAATGCAAATTAAAACTAAGATGAAATTCTACTACACAACAAACAGAATAGTTAAAAGACTAACAGTACCAAATAATGGAGAGGATGTGGAGCAACTGGAACTCTCATGCATTGTTGGATGTTAAAAGTTGATAGTATTAAACATATGCCTACCCTACGGTCTAGCAATTAATTCCACTCATAAGTATTTACCCAAGAGAAAACATTCGTATGATCACCAAAAGCACAGTAGAATGTTCATAGCAGCAGCATAATTTATAGTAGCGCCAACTTGGAAACTACTCAAATATCCATTAACAGTACCATCAATTAATATATTGCAATATATCCCCAAATGTAATGAGAACTAATTACATTGAACAACATGGGCGAACTTCATGAACATAATATGGAGCAAAAGAAACCAGGCCTAAAAGAGTACATGCTATAGAATTCCATATATACCTGAAATTCAAGAATGGGTAATTAATGGTGACAGAATTCTGAATAGATTGTGGGGGAGAAATAACTGAAAACGGTCATGAGACAACAATCTGGGGTCGTGGCAAAGTTCTTTATATTAATCTAGGAGACTTACAACTGTATACTTAAGATTTGTGCACTTTATATATATATTAAAAATTTTTAAAAACTATTGGAACCATGCTTTGGTAGGGATATGGAGCAATAAGATCTTTCAAACATTACTGTGCAAGTACAAATTTGTGCACCCACTTTAATATGTATTTTGACAGTATTTAGTAAAGTGGAAGATACGTGACTCAGCAATTCCATTGGTAAACAAACATGTGTACCCTATGTAAAACAATGTTTGCAGTAGCATTGTTTATAAAATCAAAAACTAGAAATAACTCACATGTCTATCATTACTAGAAGTGATGAATATTTGTGGCATACTTGAAAGGCTAGAATACAATATAGCAAAGAAACAATGAACTGAAATTATATCTAATATGGATGATTTTCACAAACACAGTTGTACAAATAAAAGACAAAAGACCGTATGACAGTATTCGTATAAAGTTTCAACACAGGGGAAAACTAGAGAATAATGCCTAGAGAGGTATACATAAGTATAAAACCTCACACACTTATCCAATCGCACCAACCTAATTACACATCCACCATGGGGACATTCAGCTACAGGCGACGCACACCAACAGGGCCACACATCCAGGGCCTCAAAAGGTCACATAAGCACAATAGCACATTCACCAAGGGGACACTCAGTCACAACCACACTGGCACATGCACCGCACACCTGCAGCTGGTCACAATCACGATCCCACGCTAACCACAGACACACAGAGTTGCAAACACACAGTACTCACAGGTATCCCCCCGTTCTCTGCTGCACGCGGTCACGCGGCCACGCTATCACACAATCACACACCACTATGCGGACAAACCCGATAAAACCCAGCCAGTCACAGGCTCCCCACACCCGCACACACAATACTGCACATGGTCTCAGCCTCACACACACACCCCACAGGCTCTCGCCCTGTCACGCCAGCAGTCACAGACTCCCAGACTGTGCAGCAGTGTTATCATTAGAATCACACACCCATCACAAGCACAGCCTGTCAGAAACGCAAGATCATTCACCACAGACCACCACACGAACACAACCACACAACTTCGAACTCACCTCCTCCGCCGCACAAAGCCGAGGCTCAGCCTCCGGCCCCGCCCGCCCCTTGGACTCCTCACCTCAGGCCTTCCAAGCTTCCAAAGCAGAAGAGCCCTCCACCGCGCAGGAGTAGTTGCTGGTCAAGTCCTGAGGGTCCCGCCAGCGCGTGACTTTGAGGCTGAATTCCCGCGAGAAGCACGGTCAAGCCGAGGCGTCCTCTGGGAAACGGAGGGGCGGGCAAGATGGCTGCCGATTGTCAGGATTCCTGTTAGTGCTTAGCTGCGGCCCTGCCGAAAGGCTTGCGTCCCTTATCGAACCGCGCCCCGGTTGCCTCACGGAGCCCCAGCTCAGCCTTAGGCCATGGCTCCCAAGGAAGGCCACTCACACGATGCGTTTGAGATGGGCTTACTTCCCGGACCTGCCCTACTGTCCCCAGGAGCTGCCCAGCCTCAGGAAGAGGAGAGGATGTTTGCCTGGGAAGACACTTTGTACCTGAACCTTCTGGGGAATGTAGTTCGGAGCCGGGAAAACGGTTGGTGGACCGCTCAAAAGTCATCTTAGTTCCTCTCACAGATAAACCTGCGCTTGGCCAAATTGCGGAGATTTTAGGAGTTAGTGCACCCAAACAGCGCGCAGGCGCAGATTTCCTGGGTTGCGGTTTTGGCCTTTGTTCAGGGGCGCGTTTGTCTTGATGTTCCTCAGTGCAGAGGGATTGTGGAACCTGGGGTTGTGAGACCGAAGCCGGTCAGGGAGGTGGGAGGGGTGGAGACCAGGAACCTGCGACGTGACTGGGGAGGCTGAAGGGGGGAATCACTATACCTGTGACAGGTTTGGAGTGACTGAGAGGAGTTTTCGAAATTGCAAAGGGCTCGTGTTGTTCTGAGCTACTGACTTACTTATGCATGGTGGAGGATGAGGGGCAGTGAGGTGGGCAATTGTTGAAGCACTTTGGATTTATTCTCTAATTTTCTATTTTCTCTCTTCTTTTTCCCTAATGTTTTATTTTTCTACATTCTGGAAAATTTATTCAACTTCTTCTTCTAAGCCTTCTTTTATACTGATGACTTTCAAAAACACACTTCTTTATAAGACCTTATTATTAATAGTTTCATTGCTTCATTGCTATAGTATTTGCTGTTGGCGCTCTGCAGTAGTTTGGACAAGTTCTGGTCCTTGCTTTATAAATCTAGTTTTTATGGCCAAGGTGTTCCTCAATTATTTGGTGATACCTAGATGTTCATTCAAATTTAATATGAACTAAAAAGTTGTTAATTAGCTGAAAGGGGCTAGGAAAGTAACTTTATCCTATTTTCATATGCCATCTGCTTGAACTATTATCCCCAAGTCAGTTGCTTTTCTGATTAAATTTCTCTAGATAATAATATCCTATATCCTCCCAGAGTAATATTGTGATAATCACCTTGGTGAGAAGGTTGAGAGACCAGCTGCTTTTTTATAGATTTTTTTAGCTACCTTCTTTGTGTACTTTTAAAATGTCAACATTATTGAGGTATAGTTTACATATAATAAAATGTACCCATTTTAGTCATTTAAGAGTTTTCAATATGATTATTTAATTTGCCTAACCCCACATAAGGAAGCTGTCTCTTATGTTTTCTTCTAAAAGTTTTTATAGTTTTACATTTCACATTTAGTGATCCATGTTGAGTTAAATTTTGTATAAAATATTAGGCTTGTTTTTGTATCAGATATAAGATTCTTTTTTGCATGGGTTGTCTAATTATTCCACTGCCATTTTATTAAAAAGACTATCCTTTCTATATTGAATTGCTTTTGCACCTTTGTCAAAAATCAGTTGATCATATTTATGTGTGTCCACTTCTGGATTCTAATTTGTTCTTTTTATCTATCTGTGTATTCCTGTATATATCTGTGTATTCCTGCACTAACACAACACAGTCTTGATTACTATAGATCTACAATAAGTCTTAAAATCAGATAGTTTGTGTTATACAGCTTTATTTTTTCACATTTGTGTGACTATTCAGGTTCCCTTGTCTTTCCATGTGTTTTTGAATCAGCTTGTTCATATCTGCAAAAAATACTGTTGAATGATTGAAACGTGTTAAATCTATATATAAATGTGAGGGAAATTTACATTTTAACTGTTAAGTTGGTGCAAAAGTAATTGCGGTTTTAGCATTGTTGAAATTTTCCCTTTAGTATTGGAATACATTCTTAAATAAATGTGGTTATGTTATATATAATTTTAATGCACATTTCTCACTTTATGTTTTTTTGCTAATGACTTATTACTTGCTATTTATTTTATATTTATTTTAGACTATGGAAATGATGTTGGACAGAAAGCAGATGTGAGTGATTTTCTTATTCGAGTTCAAAATGGGTCATAAAGCAGCGGAGACAACTCTCAACAGCAAGAACACATTTGGCCCAGGTACTGCTAACGAATGTACAGTGCAGTGGTGGTTCAAGAAGTTTGGGAAAGGCCAAGGTTCTCCCCCGACACCTAGGGCCCACTGAGGCAGTTGCCTGAGGCTTCCCAAGTGGGGCCTGTGTATCTGAGGCTCCCCCTCTGTTTGGCTTCCTCCCGGGGGAGGAGGCATGCTCAGCCCCCAGTCACAGGGCTTGACATCTGTTCCCTCAGTGGCCTGGCAGGGGTGATGCTAAGGTTCCTGCTGGATGGGTGAGTCCTGAGTGGACCTGTCTCCCTGCATCAGAGCGATCACAATGTCATCAGTTGCAGAATCAAATGCAGCAGCAAAAGAGTGACTTAAAGGTGGAATTTATAATTAGAAGAAAAGCAGAGTGTAAAATTTTGGAAAATTCACAGCCTGGCCATGTGATAGAGAAGGAAAGAGCATTTGCAGGCAAGGAATCCACAGGTGCAGCTGAGCCATTACTTGCTAGAGATATTAGCACAGACCAAGGGAGTCAAGTGCTAATACAACAATGGGAAAAAGTCCCTGAAGGCATTTCAGGAATCTTTGAGGCTGCTCTCTCTTATCACAGGCCCCGCGGCCTAGAAGGCAGAATGGTTAGAGGAGTCAGGCCCTACTGATTGTGCAATTGTTGGTAATGTTGCACAGGGATATCTTGTTTCTATTCTTTCACTTTCAACCTATTTGTGTCTTTAGAGCTAAAGTGATTCTCTGGTACATAGTGAAAAATCTAGTTTGCCAACGTCTGTCTTTTGATCAAAGAGCTGAATCAACATTCACTTAATGTAATTACTGATAATGCAGGACTTTTAATTTTAATTTTAATTTTAATGAATTAAAGCTGCATTTGCCTGAAGAAGCCAGCCAAGCTACTGACTGGTTTGAAAATAATTATGTGCGTGGTAGGGTAAGAATACACTTCTGCAACAGTGTTGCTGTTCGATCACCAGAATTGTCTCCACCAAATCTGCCGTCTGTATATGCGTGCATGGAGAATGGATTTCTGTGTCTGCAAAACAACATAGAAGCGTGGCACAGAAGATGGGAAAATTTAATAGGGATTATTCATGTTGTTGTATTACAATTTATAGAATTTCAAAAGAGTAGTGCCACATAGAAAATGAATGTGAATGTGTTCTCTAATGAGAGCCATGTCCTGAACAAGAAAGCAGCTATTCATTGTGATACAAGACTTCAAAATATAGTGAATAATTGTGAATGCCAGACAGCTCTTATGGATTACCTTTGTGTAATTGTACATAATTTGTTCCTGTAATACATTTTTTCATGTTACATTTTCTTTTTAGCGTTTTTGGTTTTTTAATTTTTTTTTAATTTCAAAATATTAAGGGGGTACAGATGCTTTTGTTACAGGGATAGCTTTTATAATGCTTTAGTCAGGGCTGTTAGCGTGTATGTCATTGGTTTGAGGTTTTTAAAGGATTTTTTTCATTATTTAAACTGTCAGCACTATTTTTTACAATTCACTATGCATTTCATGTTCAAATCATTTCCAATACTAGACGTATAAATTGTGAAGAGACTTTTAGATAGTTCTAATTCATTTTATGCAATTTTTGCAAATTTGACTCCACGAAAGTTCATTATCACAACTTTGGCTTTGTGTGTAAGTATTATGTGTGTAAGTAAAAATGTTGAAACTTCCTCAGTAAATGAAGAGTTTTTTTGGGCGATTGCATATGCACTGGTGACCCATTGCAGTTTTTGATTGATCTTTCAACATGGTATTTCACATTACTATAGTTATAAAGCTGGGTGTGCACAATCATCAAGCATACTGATATGAGTTTATACATTTCCCTTTTTTAGCTATTTAAAAATAAAGTTATAAAGCTGGGTGTGCACAATCATCAAGCATACTGATATGAGTTTATACATTTCCCTTTTTTAGCTATTTAAAAATAAAGTTCATCTGCTCATACCGTTATACCCATGTGACTGTCACAAGTATACCCGAGTGTTTATGCTTACAAAAATATGTATAGTTATTACTACCTATTTTATTAAGTGGCTGATGAAGTGTTCTGTTCCGTTTTTGCTTCTCAGATAAATCTCCCTTTAAAAATGTAAATTATCTTTTAAAGAATTTCTAAAATTATTTTTCCAGAATTATATTTTGGAGATTTTGATCTTTTGGGATTGTGATTTTGGGAATATTAGACTTCAGGGATTTTGATCTTTTGGGATTGTGATTTTGGGAATATTAGACTTCAGGGATTTTGATCTTTTGGGATTTCAACATTTGGGATTATGGTGCTTAGGACTATGTCTTTCAGAATTATGATTGGCTCCCATTAGGAGCACATAATAAGTATCTGGTAAATATCCCATATGTAACTGACTACATGGGTGGAGTGAAGCAGGAGGGGCATATTTCTTATTCACTGAACAAAACTTTCTTGTATATAATGGTATCAAGCAGGAATACATTTCAAATTATTTTGTTCAGAAACTTAATGCTGAAGGACATGAAGCATAATTTGAACAAATGCAATGGCATACTATGTTTTGGAACAAAAAAACTTAATATAAATGTCAATTCTCCCAAAATAAATGTAAATAATTAAATGTAATTAGAATACTAAAGGGTTTTGTAATTGTAGAAAACTATATTCATTTATATAGAAAGAAAATTAACTTAGATTAGCCAGTAAAATGGAAAAAACACCAAGGGAGATTTTATTATGAAACATCAAAATAT